AAAACCAAAGGCAATTTATGCTAAAAGGATTCATGTATGCAGGCTCATTCTCAAACAAAAATCAGCACCAAGACAGTATATCCAAAGAAATCCTGAAATAAAATTATAAAAACAGTTCTAAAAATGTTCTAGCTGATCTGGCACATGAACTTTTGTAGTAATGGTGTTTGCGCTACAGTGGAGCCTGACCAGTAATCACTGACTTTGAGAAGATCATAGTCATCATCTGGTCCACAAGGGCTCAGGACAAAGACCAGACCATCCTCTCAGATGAAGTGGAAGTCCTGTCCCAAGAACCAGGAAGTTGTGGATTAAAAGGCCCACCAGAGTCTTCTGGGTATGCGAACAACTGTGAATCCTACAGCCCGGGCAACTGCTGAGCCGACCCTCATCTGTGCCGAGCATTGACAAAGGCCCAGAAGTCTGTCTGTGGATCTTGATCTTTCCAGAAGCCCACCTGAAAGGGGCACTGTGTGCTTCCAGTACTTATTCATGCAGTTCCAATGACTTTAAAGGAAGACCTGGCTTGCCACAGAGCAATTAAGTCATTTTGATTACAAAAGATCTTGCATAATTTTATGTATTTAAGAATTCACGACTATTACGTTCTTACTACAGATCATTTCAAACACAAAAATAGGTAGAATCTGGGCTGGCTCATGAGCCAACTTTGAGAATGGCGGATCTTAAAACACCACTCCTGAGCCATGTATTTTAATGAAGACTCACATTTTATCCATAGATCTTTCAATATATAAAATAATAACTTTCTTTTTTGGGTGGGTATTGAGACAGCCAAACTGACAATGAAGAGTAAACCATTACAATAGCATCCCCTAAAAGTGAGCAATTTATTCTGTTCTGTTTTTTAAGAAAACCACTCTGAGACCTGCAAGTCTACTGGAGGAAATTATGCTTCAAACCCTCCTGTTGTGATTTTGAATGCACTGCGTTTTAAAGTGTAACCGTGTGATTGATGAGAATTTTTAACTCCACCTACACAAATGGTTGAGAAGGAGGTACTGTGGGGGAGTAGGTCAGGGGCAGAGCACTTGCCTAGCACACACAAAGCCCTGGGTTTGAGTGCCAGTACAGAAATACAAACAAGCAAACCTAGCAAAACTACAAGAAGACAAGTTCGTATCATTTGCAGTGTGATGCATTTCATACCCTTGTGGAAGGTCTCCTTAACTCAGCCCATGTGCCTGGTCAGCCGGATATTAAAGTGGAAAGGTCACCATGAAGACACGTGAAAGTGCAAGAGACTGATGACCGGGCGATTGGAAAGATCTCCAAGCCACTCCTGGGACAAAGATACCACATCCATGTGAAAATCAGGTATTTCCCAGCACCAAATAAGGGCCCCTGAAAACCAGCTAACCAGTGATAAATGACTGCGCACAAAACATGGAAAAGGGCATGGTAGAAACGGTGTTAGTGTGCTGCGGCAGGACGCCCAGGCCAAGCTGGCATGTCACAGTGCAGCAACAGCTTTGTCCTATCCTTACAAACCTAAATACTCTTACAGTGGCACCCAGCCACTCCACACTCAAGTATTTACCCATAGCTCTATTAATCACTGTGCACACTTAACACCAAAATGTCCCTTGGCAGGGGATGCCTAAATGAAGTGTTTCACCCAGAGAGACAAAAAGAATAAGCTATGTAGCCACAAAGGCCTCAGAAGCCACGAAAGTTGGGGAGGGAGGCCTTGTGGCTAGATCTGCGTTTGCAACATAAAGCAAATGTGCTCAGAGGTCAGTGCTTTATGGCCACCTTGAAAATTTGTGATTAAAAACCTCTGGATATGAAATACACTCAAAATGCCAACATTCTGTTTCTCAAAAAAGATCAGAAAGTCAGCTGAGCATGGCAGCACACAGTTGTAACTCCAACACTTGTAACTTGATCATGAGCCGAAGCTGAATCTGTATTATACAGTAGGACAGTTTTGGAAAAAAGAAAACAAGGGAAAACCATTCAATTCCAGTTGTTACAGATTTTCAAATAGTGGAAAGTAAGTCCGTTTACTGCCTAGTTATATAAAGATTTCTTTTGGGCTTTGATGAGTTCTCTTGGTTTGTTTGTTGAGACAGGGTCTCACGTAGCCCAGTCTGATCCTAAATTCACAGTAGGCCTCCTGACTCAACTTCCTGAGTGCACAACCTCACCAAACTCCTCCTGCCAAGCTCTGGATCATAAAAAGGATGTCAGTCTGGCATAGTGGTGCGCATCTTTAATTCCAGCAGTTGGGGGTGGGGGCTGAGGCAGGGGGATCTCTGAGTGTTAGAGACCAGCCTGATCTACACAGTGAATTCCAGGACAGCCAAAGCTACACAGAGACCCTGTCCTATTTAAAAAAACAAAACAAACCTCTGAGAAGCAAATTCAAGCCATTAAGCTTTACTAAGACCTTATTTCAAATAGATGTACAACTATTAAACGTGTTTTCTTGACGGTTTAGATACGATCTGTCTGGAGGACCTGGGTTTGCTGCAGGCCTTTGTCCTTTGCCCTCAGGTGTGCAGCTAGCTCGAGATAGGTCGTCAGTGGACAGTCAGGGCCTACCAGAGGACATGGCTAGTTCTGACAGGTAGGAGTCAGTATGGAAAACCTTGTGGTAGGGTCTTCAACACCCACTTTTCTGCTTGCTCCAGCCCTGGCATTGATGTGCGAAGGCAGCCAGAACTGAGGTGGGGGAAGAAAGTCCATCTTAAGCATCTGCGTGTGTGGTGCTCTGGGGCTAAGCCCCACCTCCAACAGGACAGCAAAGCCCTGGGTACAGGTGTAGACAGCTGGTGGTGGCCTGGGAGAGGCACTGCCCTGGCCAGCATCTGCAGCAAGTCTGTGCTCCTCGGCTGCAGATAAGGACTCGCGCCCCCCCCTCCCCCAGCAGCTTTCCTTCTCTCCTTCCGGGGGAAGGAGAAGTTGGGGCCATGTTAGAAAGGCTTTTGTTCATCTGGGCCATATAGGGAATAAGATGAAATGAATGAATGAATAGCAATATAAACATCGGTGATTGACAGCCAGGAACATGGTCTGGGAGAGGAGCAGAATGGCAGCTCAGATGAGCACAGCATCAGACAGAACGATACTGTGAGAAGATGCCGATGCTGGTCATCACTGCTCAGAAAGCCAGGCGGAGAGCTGGTTTGGCATACTCCAAGATGACGTTAATGATGTTCTCACTTCCGTCCCAGCGCAGCTCTGCCAGCAAGGCTTCCCCCTTTACCGTTTCACAGGAAGCGCTGACTGGCAGACAGGTTTTGTTTACTGCCGTTGGAGTAAATGAATGCACTCAGTGACACTTGTGAGGCTTGGCTTTTGGGTGTTTGCCTGCTCAACATTCACTTCGGGGTCCATAGCAGTCTTTCCATGACCTCATTCCTTGTCCACATCATTCAGGGTATGACCCCCCTTAGCCAAGCAACAGGGAAAGCCCAGCAGAGTGGCAAGGTAAACCACAGAGGGAGCTCCAGTTCCTGACGACGTCCGAGCATCTGCACACGTAGATGCAGCAGTACCTGGAGCTCCATCTGTAACTTCTCTGAAAAATCCAGTCGATACATGAAGCTGAGCCCACGGGAGTGTGGAGTGTGCCCCTGAGCACGGGCGATGCAGCCTTGTCTTGGTCTGGAACTTCACTGCCAATGTAGTGGTTAACCAGGAGAGGGGCAGAAGGGACAGAAGGTGTCTTTATCAACAAAACTCATCCTGGCTGCCCCTAGGTCCTGGCATAGGGACGGAAGGGGCTCCAGCTCGCCTGAAAAAACCTGCTGGGAAACCAACAAAACCTCAGGCCCCAATTCTAGCCATGAACAGGCTGTTCGACAACATGCAAGCAAAGACCCGCCTCCTGGATAGGGCAACCTGAAATGGACGGTCCTGTTGTGCCCTTTAACCATCGAGTACCTGCTTCCCACCCCCACCAGCTGGGAAAGCTCCCTGGCCTGGCCTTCATTTTATACTTATTTGCCCACACACGGCCAGCCAATCAGTGCACAGAGGTCTGTGTAACAGGAGGCACAGGCTCTGGACAGGCAAACAACGTGCCTGGAGTAATGGCGAGGGAAGAACGCTGGGCTTCTCACCACCCCTCAGGGTGCTGCCTTAGGCAGAGACCTGGCTCCGTCTCTCACCGCTGCATTCTCTAAGACTCCATGCTCTGGTTGCAGGCTGGAACGCCCGCCTCCTGATGTACGTTGGCGAGCTCTCAGCTAGCCAGCACCCTGCACATCTGAGACTGGGACCCTCCCTCAGTTGTCATGCCTGTGTGGTGAGCGGTTTCTTGTTGGGACTCCAATCCCACGTTAACGGAGTCTCATCCTGTTCACCTTCGCTATTGGCTCACTTCGTTCTCGCGGAAGGTGAGAAAAGAGCAGGTGAGAGGCAGAACTGACCGTCTGAACGACAGGTCCGGAGCACTGGCAGTGACCTCATGGACCCAACACGCACCTAGACTTCTTCCCGCACTACCCACCGCTTACAGAACAAACAGAAGAGTGAGTGACTGACTGGTTCTTTCGTTCAGGTACCTTTGGAGACAGAGGGCACTCTGTGACACCGCCCCCCCCCCCCCCCCAGCTTCTCCCGAGGATGCCTGTGTGGCAGACTGACTGGCTCTGGCAATAATGCAGTACAGTACAGTAGATGCGTCTCATGACGAACCCTCTCTCTAGCTGCGGGCCCCGAGCACCAGAACAGAGCTGCCCGATTCCCCAGGTGTCCACCTCATGCTGGAAATTATGACTGCATCCTTCATGGTTTGGTAAAAGCTTCTGAAAAACTTCCCCAGGGAACAGGAAGAGCTGGGGGCAGCAAGCGCTGTCGTCTAGTCCCAGGACGTCCTTCTCCGTTAGTGCGCTGTCTGTTGTTCTACCAGCTCTGACAGGGACAGACTCAGGCTTGGTCACCCTGGCCCGCACAGCGCCTGCTGCTGAGCAGGAGCCTGGCTGAGGGAATCCCGAGAGGCCGCCCGCGCTGCTGTCAGGCACCAGAGAGAACTTACAAAAAGGACTTTATTAAATGGAAGAAGAATCTGGTGGGTGGAGTATGAAATATACAAAAACTTTACATCAGCTCTCTTAGGGCAGCGTAGGCCACCTCTCGTCACACTGCCCACAGTGGCAGGCTGTGGCCCAGGCAGCCCAGGCTGCAGACGGGACCTGCATCAGGAACCAGGTCATCTGCAGATCGGCCGAGGGCCTGCAGGGTGGCTGAGGCTCCCAGGCCTGCCTGTGAGTCTTGGTGTCCTGTACACAAGTATGTACACTGCCGTTTCACTTAAAAATCCTTCACAATTCTGATCGCATCAGCTGTGAACAAAGCCCAAGACGCCAGGTTTTCGCTACATTGCTCTAAGTCTTCCTGGGTCCCCAGTCCTCACACTAAATATGCTGTTGTATTCAAAGGGAAGCCCCCAAGGCCCTCACTACATGACTAGACATCACATGTCCACTCTCGCCACGAGAGGCCCTGCCGAGCTCTTTGGCATAGCACACCAACTCCTCGTAACACTTTGTCGCTTAAAAAAGTAGACTTTCCTATAGTAAAACTTCTTACAAACACTTATTTCTGCAAAATAATGTGTTTCTGTATGTGGAGCTCTGCAAAATCTAAGTTTTTCTGGAGAAAAAGGAGCCGCCCCAGGGGCTGTCTGGTGGCAGGTCCCCGTCACATGAGGTCATTCAGCTCCGCCTCCAGAGCAGCGGCCATCTCATCGGCTTCTGAACTGCTGCCCTCCTCCTCATCGTTGCTGGACTCCCCGCTGGACTCGCTGGCAGCGTCCTCTTCGTTCAGTTTTCTCTTGTGGCCTCTGAAGAGAGAAGAGAAGCCAGACATTGTGAGAACTGGCAGTGGGCAAGCATGCAGCCCCTAGTCACCTTGGTGCAGAAACAACCCCGTGGTCACTGTCTCAGGAAGGCATGCTATTTGGGCACACTCCACACTTGGCTGCCTTTGGAGAGGAGGGAGTGGCAGAGGGCTGGGTGGACTGGTGGAGAACATCCCAATCTTGAGGTACATGCCAAGGACGAACTCTGTTAGGTATAGGTGACGGATCTGTAACAGGAGCTTACGTAAGAGGTGGGTGACGTACAGGTACTCAGACACACCCATGAACTCTCAGCCTCACCAGAGCTGGTTCTAACCCAGTAAGGCATGCAGGGATGGCTCCGAGATTCTAAGTGGAAAGAGCATGTCACTTCTGAGCGAGGACAACAGGAATGAACACCACACAGTGACAAGAGGTGCTACTATGGGTGCCACGACACATTCTATAAAGACTCAGTTACTCGTGAACCGCCTTAGCTGTGTGTGCGTGCGCGCGCGCGCGCGCGCGTGTGTGTGTGTGTGTGTGTGTGTGTGTGGTGGGGTGGGGAGCTTATGACATGCATATACTCCTTTCTTTTGCTATTCAAAGTTCCAGACACTGGCATAAAGAAAAGACAAGATCCACAGAGGAACAACTGAATGACAACTCAGAAGGGGATTCTTTTACAACAACCACTCAAGGCTAAGTTCTGAAAAGAAATTGCAGTCTCTTCAGGTAACTCCGTGCAGCACTCGGGACTTGTCTGAAGATCCATTTCCTCAGGCCGTCACTCTCCTACATAAACTAAAGCAATCACCAGCACTTTGTACAAACAGCAAGCACTACTGCATGCTTCTAATCACCAAATTCTGTTGCCCAGGAATCTGCAGACCAGAGCCAGAGAGGCACCACATTGGTTAGCCTGCTCCTTTCCTTAGCCCGCAGGCTCTAATGACCCTGATCTCTCAAGTTTCTCTCTATATGACCTTGTACCCTAACTGATCTAATAGCTCCAATCCTCAGACAACTAAACACATTGTAATCATGGCCACAGAACAGAAATTTCTTTGGCTAACACACATGCATGTATGCACACACATACTCTACAGCATGCACAGTGGGAACCTGCAGCATAATGACTTGAAATTACTGATGCTAACATTAGGAAAGCTTTGTGGTTTACATGTGAGGCAGGTACAATGTAACAAGGTGATGGGATGGAAGCATTAGACAAGATACTCCTTGATTGTATCCAAGTGAAGGAGTGCCCATTCCAGGTGGCTCGTAGCATCAGTGTTACAGCGAATACAACACTAACAACCACAACAGTTCAGTGCACTGTAACCTCCATGACAGCCTTGGCTCCTCCAAGGTCCCCAGCCCTACCCTGCACCCCTTGAGGAGGACAGGAATGTGATTTTTTTTTTTATCTACATGCTGGGGCCCCTGCACTGTGAGATTTTTGCATCAAAAGCTATGTATGTTATCAGCCTAAATTCAAAATCCATAAATCATTTTTGAAATGTCAAGCAGAACTTTTCTATAAAAACAGATTTTTTTTAAATATACAAAAATGAAGGGTTGATCTTTTTTAAAAAAAAAAAAAAAGATTTATTTATTATGTATACAGTGTTCTGCTTGCATGTATCCCTTCAGGCCAGAAGAGGGCACCATATCTCATTACAGATGGTTGTGAGCCACCATGTGGTTGCTGGGAATTAAACTCAGGACCTCTGGAAGAAACAGCCAGTGCTCTTAACCTCTGAGCCATCTCTCCAGCCCCGAAAGAGTTTATCTTAAAACCGATATAAAAGGCAGAATCCAGATCCTTGGCCTGGGTCCTTTTCCTCCAGAAAAACTTGTATTTTGCAGAGCTCCACATATAGAAACACATTATTTTGCAGAAATAAGTGTTTGTAAAAGACAATTAAAATGAAGAGGAACTATAGAAGAGGTAAAAGTAGATTTCTCCAGGAAGATAGTGTAAAGGGGTCCGGACTAGACAGGAGTCTTGGTAGAAATCATGACAAACATGGAGTAGTCTGGCCCCAGGCTACTGCAAGCCCATGCACATGGAGTAGATGCTGAGTGAGCAGTAGAGAAGCTGGTCACGTGGGCCTTTGGAAACTTTGGCAGGAATGGGGCAGGGCCTTTGGAAACAAGGGAACTCCGTGCTGAAGACACCTGGGTTCTGTACAGAGGGCACAGCTCCAGAACACAGTGCACGACTCCCAGGCTCAAGCCTTCAGTTCAGGCTCACACAGTATGCTCTCAGGTGGTTTCAATGCAGACACATGCATCTATGGCTGCCAGGTTATACCTCAAACTTCTCAAAGGCAGGGAAAAGAAAGCTGCCCGAAACTCCCTATAAAAACCCACCAGATCACTATCTACTGTGGCCTAACCACATTCTGCTGACAAACAGACCCTTGTCACCCTTACGGGAATGCCACAGCTTTGTTTCTGGTCTTGACCATTTGAACCAGTGCATATCAAGTCTCACTGTGGCTCTATTGAACTCCCAGTGACTATGGCCACATCTTTCATCTCTGCTGTTCTTAGGGTGTGTATAGTCTCTCACTGCTCAGGTCTGGGGGAGTCTCCTTAGACGTGCACCCATGCATCACCCCATCTGCAGCTATCTTCTTATTTTCTTACAGTTCTTTTACAAAAAAGTTACCTTTTGATTTATAGCCAGTCCGTTCTATATTGCTGCTAGAAACTCACGGTGTAACACATGGTTACATTTAGTTCTGGTTCTATTTAGGTCTGGATCTATTCTGAGTTAATTTCTGTGTTGGGTGTAAGGTATGGGTTGAGATTTCTTTCTTCTACAGTTGCACAGCTCACTGCTATAGTACCAATTGTGGGAAAGAAAATTTAAGAACTGCCTGAGGGAATATAAAGACCCATTATTTAAAGAAACCTTTTGAATTTGAAGCAAAAGAAGAAACCTCCCCAGAAGTGTACTTGGCTGCAGGAAAGCGAGTATTTGTTTAGCCAAACAGATCACCAAGTTGCAAACACTGGATTTGCAAGACAGATGGCGCATACTTGGCCATGTATGTGATGTGATGTATGAAATGCTCTAAAAGCGGCAGGACAACAAATAACCTACAAGAGAAATACTCCTTCAGTGAACAAAAACCACCCAAACTCAAGCAGACAGAAAACACAGTGCTGCGAAATGTAAGTCAGGGTACTGAGGGTACAGAACACCTCACTCCCCAGCTGGGCTGCCCTCAAACAGCTGGGTGCAAGAACTCAGTGCCTTGAGTTCTGGAAGCCATGTGAACTCAGGCTCTTTAGGAAACAGGTTCAACAGCACACTGACACTGAAACACACATCTGCTTTGGTCCAAGTCTGCTTTGTCCCACCTGCAGGACATCACGTGTCAGGAACAAAAGCATCCACAGATGAGAATGTTGGTCCAGGATGAACATGACTGCCAGAAAGCCAAGGAGGCCAAAGGGGGAGAGGAGATGGCTCAGTGGGTAAAGTACAGGAAGGAAGGAAGGTCTGAGTTTGGATCCCTGGCACTCATGTAAAAGCTGGACATGATAGTACACGTCTATAATCCCAGCTAGGGATGGGATGGGGGTACACAAGAGTGGATCCTGGGGACATGCTTGCTGGCTAGTCTAGCTGAAATGGCAAGCTCCATATTAGGTGAGAGATCGTATCTAAGAATAAGATGCAGTGGCAGAGGAAGACACCCAGTGCTGCCCTCCAGATGTGCATGCATAGGCTGATGCATCTCCTATGCATGTGTGCATGCTCTTGAACACAAAAACAAGCCAAGGAGGGGGTCACTCAAACTTGTGCCAACAGAGAAGGAGGTAGACAGATACTAGGGTACGGAGGTTCAGAGCTGGCAGAAGTTGGGATAACCTGCACCCGATTCTGAAATGCATTTTTAACTAGTGCTTGCTAGCCATGCTCAAAGGGCTTTAAATAAGTCTCACCCACCCTCAAAAGTCCCTCCCACTTATGCTTCTTTCTCCAACAGCATCTTCAAACAGAGTGAGCCCAAGCACAGGGCAGCCCCAAACTGTGGCTGAGTGGCCAATGGATGAATACCACAGCCAGCTTCCCCACCTTGAGGACTGGGCTCCAAGTGGGCTCATTTGTTATGGTGTAGCGCAAATGAATGCCCAGTGGTTGAGCAGGAGAACATTCTGGGCAGACATGGAACCCATGTAGCTCTGCTCCGGGAAAGCTGGCTGCATTCTGGAGCATATGGAAACGTGTGTGTCCACTGTTGAAGATCCTTCCATTTGATTACAGCATTGGTGCACAACTGACAGCCGAGCGGCACAGCTGCCTGCTCTGGACTAACAACGATGCCCAGAGTGGGCACAGGTCTGCAGCTGGGTGCGAGAGGTTCCTGAGGAACTATGAGGGGAGAAGTAGGACCCGGAAAGAGCAGGTGGAAAAATGTCAGAGAAAGACAGCAAAAGGCACGAGAACTGGTCCTCACAGCATCCTTCTAAAGCCACGCCGTGAAGGAGCCTCATGGTAGACAAGCACTCTAGTGGTGGCCTGCAGAGCACCCACAAGAACAAGAGTGGCCCCCACGTGGCAACTCTTAGCCTGGCAGGCCCAGCAGTGTCTTGCTGGCAGGTGTGTTCAGAAACCACGGGTGACGTGGAAGGAGTCTACAGTAGGAAGCTGATGTCCTAACCATCAGGAGTTTTGGATCTAAGACTGAAAAATGACTCGAGAAGCCTTTCCTCGAGCTGACACTGGCTCATAAGCTGCCACAGCCTGTCCTGGAGACACCACTTCCTACCAACAACCAAACAACCATTCTGCTTACCCAGAAACCATCATTACAGAAAAAGATCGAATGTTTTACTAGCAAAAAACTAAAGATAAAAACATCGAAGAAGCTAGGCATGGGGCCACAGGTAGATCTCTGTGAATTCCAGGTCCAGCTGGGGCTACATAATAAGCCTCTGTCACAACACCCAACAAAACCCAAACCCTACCAACCAAATAA